CAAGGACTATTCGTTCCAAGCAACCACCCTTTTCTCCACAATGACCATCCTTAAAGGTTATATTTTTTTCAGCGAAACATTTACAGTTGCTCAACAATGCCGGCCTAGTATTCCATAAAGAGTTCTTAAAGGACAAGTGGCTTGGATGGCTTGCAGTTTAGGGTTATGTTAGATCTCAGATATTCGCCACTGACTATAGTGATCCAGAAGCATGGCTCCAGGGCTAGTAAGCGCGCGAGTCCCGACGTTGTCAGCGAACTACAAGGGAAGACATGATTTTGTCATCAAGAAAATGCAATCTAGTAAAAGTCATGCTTTTGTGTCGCTTTAGACAGTGGCCCGTAGTAAACTTCCCGTCAGGTGAGATGATCTGACCTGACGGGGCTAGTCCAACTCCACCGAGTTCACATGATCACGATTCCTCCGCCGTAGTATAAGGATACAAAGTCCGCGGACGGATCACAGTCATGCATGGTTCTGCGATGAGATGAACTGAGCCCCTAAGGAGAGAGTTCTCCTGACGGGTCATACAAAGGAAATGTCAAATGTGGAGCATCACCGACCCAAAAGTGCACACTTTTGCTAGTGATCCCAAGATTCGCTCCTAATCAATGATTTGGTCCGAAACCGTTCTCTCTACACGTTACGGTGCACCTATGTTCCTCCACGTCCTACAAATTGGCAAAAGGGTTTGCCATTGAGCGGATTCGAACCATGCTGAATTGCTCAGTGGCCGCCAGCCCAACCACTGAACCACCAATACCTGAAGCGACTAGGTTATAAAGGTCTAATGAAGCTAATTGCGCATGCCATGGACCCTGTACCTTGCCTGCCTTGGACTGAGTTCACCTGACCCTGTCTTCAAGTAATCTCCGCTGAGGGGACTTTACTACGGGCCAGTGTCTGGGAGGACGACAGGCGAATAACTAAGTATAGAGTAATATGTCCTCTAATGAAGTGAGAGGCAGAAGAAGCCATTGCTTGCGAACTAGAGACAAAGGGCGAAAAATATTTGTAAGCTTAGGAGCTTCCATTACCTTTCTAATGCTACTATTTTCTGACTATAAAGAAGGAACCTTCACCCGATTTTGCTTAAGTAAAGTGCCACAGGAAGCGTACGTAGTAATTGCACGAGGGTTTCTTTTCAAACTCACTGCCAGTCTCCTAATGAGATACCCTTTTGAAGTGCTTCATCCGCATAAAGGACCCATATACCCATGCATATTATAAACAAATTAAATGTTTCTATCTTTTTTTGAGTATTCAAATTAGCATTACGCAAGTTCCACATCTTCATGTTTACATATTAGACAGAAACAATAAATGCAAAGACGCAATCCAATGAAGTGCTGCGCCTTACACGAACCTGCAAGCGAAGCAGTTAACTTCCAAGTCCATCATAGGAACTTCTTGTACACAGCTAAGCAAATAATATTTCTTTTGCAGTAGAACATGTGTAACTTCTTTTATAAGGCTCGGTACTCTATTACAATATACATGCTATCATTAGGTCAGCCGAATCATCATTCCAAAAATCCATATGCTGCTTCATCATTTCAGAGCAATATTGCAACTACGACAGTTGATGTGCGACCTGAGTATAGTTTGGTTAGTGTGGGCGATTGCTCAGATTGTTGGAATCAATCTTGTCTTCTACGGGATCAAGAACATTCGATGGAAATTTTTTGTACCACATTTGATCTTAAGGTAATTTATTTTTTATAATAAAACAACTGTATATGCAGCGAACCTTCAGTATTCCTTGCAGAGTTCTTGGAACTGCTGTTCTTGGTTGCCTTATTGCCATCTTGACATTTTCTGCTTTATCTGAAGAAAATAACACAGCTCATATCATTGGGCTAATATTTGTAGCCTTATTGGTGGTATTCTGGATATATTCAACGGTAGGGCAACCTTCATATCGCGCGTAATGCTATCACTTGAGATTTTCTTGAAGCTGTGCATTACAGGTGACTGAATGCTGGTGTGCCCACTTTGTTAAGCGTTCTCAAGAGACCGGATTTTCAATTTCTGTTGCTCGTCCTATAGGACCGGCTACTATATCACTTAGTGAAAGGGAGGCACCTGCTTCGGTAAATTGACGAAACTATAACAGATTCTAAATTTCCTAGTTTTCCATTTCCACTAAAGCCAACTTTAATCATATTACTATATTTTAGCCACCAGCGCGGCAACTACCTCCGTTACGTCACACTTATGGAGGAAGGAGAGATCCTCAAAAGTACGCTCAATAAAGTCACTTAACACTTCTAATATTGATAGCTGCGAGAATATCACATCTACTCGCTAATCACAACCTTGTTACTGTGGGATCTCAGTGTCTTCTACTGCTTTCAAAGTGATAGTATTCAATCTCGTCTGTACACGTTGCGGGTCAAGCCCTTATCCGTTTGTGATTTATGAAAATGACGAATATTATGTTTTAGTTATGATTATTGAGTCTTAAAGGTTCAACTTCATTTCATCAGTTGTTGCTCATTTTTGCTATGTTGCAGTTGTTGCTGTAAATCTTCCATTACTATCGCAATTTATTTATATTTGCAGTAGATTAATGCGGAATATTTCTAAAGCTACTGATAACGTGGCCAATTCAATCGAGTTTGAATCAGGAAATTTACTGTCTTAACTTGATATGTATAATTTATAAGATATTATTGTAACCTGTTCTGGAACATTCTGCGCCTGCTATTTTTTTGTAGAAGGAAAGTAAAGAGTGAATTATCGAGATCAATTTGCTGTTACTAAAATTTCTGCTATCGACCTTCAACGACATCAAAACTTTATAAAATTCTAAGTGAATTCGCAGAAATTGAAGTTTCAATTCCTAAAGTTTCTTCCTGAGCACTTGTTGATGAAGTTTCTAAAAGAGTTTTTGATTTTTGACAAAAGTTCGACTCAAACTACTACCGTGTCCTCACATGAAAAAGCGCTAGTGTCGCCTCAAGCAAAATCTCTTCCCTGCGGATCCATTTACGTAATCTGATTATTTCTACCAAACTTTACATTCTTCAGAAAATATGCAGATACACAGGCAGAAAGTAAGGAGTAAATGCTAGTGCTAGTGTTAATCTCTAAATGCTATTCGCTTGATCTTTATTCCAAGAAATTTGATTCTGATTATTTCTCATCACAAGCTCGCTTCCTTAATGTTATGAAAGATCTTTCACATATATATGATAGAAAGGATTCGAGAAATTTTAAGCAGCTCTCTTTAGGTGGCCCACAGAAATTAACTATCCACGTTATTATTAGAAAAAGTCTATGCCTTTTTCAGATAAAAGGTTGTTTTAATTCCCAACCCTCCGCCCTCTCCCCCCGCAAGATTTTTCATTTTTGAGGGATTATCAAATTCGTAATTAGCATATCAAGTTGCTCCCGTACAAACCTCAGCGCCTTTGAGCAGAAACTGCGAACAATTAATAAATCAATAGACTCAATCGATAAATCTTCAAGTGAAAAGATCAGTTCAGAAACAAAAATTAGTATTATTCGGAACAACACACACACAGACACACAGACACACACACACACA